GTTTCTTAATTGTTCTGACCCATTCTTACACTTGCTCATGGTTTTCAGCCGTATTTCTCTTCTGCAGTGTGTTTGCTCATGAATTCAAGTACTTATGTTGTATTCATTTTATCGTGATTGATTTCAGGACTGTCAATGCCAGGATTTTTGTCCGGAGTGCGCCGTCGAAATGACACTACAGGTTTCCTGTAACGACGATATGACTCGTCACGTAACTACAGCTGACTTTAAGTCTAGCGACAGCCGCGTAGTTCCCGTAAGTTCAGCAGCAGCAGAAACACTTGTAGGCTTAACTGTCAGTTTAGGCTTGCGGTATGCACAGAAGAAACGAAACCGACGATTTCACGGACAGTGAAGGTATGCAGTGAGTTTGCCATTGTTTCAGTTCTACTGTAATTAGTGATCACCTTGTAGATATTCTCATCGTCAAACTGCGAAAAGGTCAAGAACTCAAACTGCGTTGCTTCGCCAAAAAGGGTTTTGGCAAAGAGCATGCAAAATGGAACCCAACGTGCAGCGTCGCTTTTGAATACGATCCTGACAATGCGTTACGTCATACCCTGTTTCCAAAGCCTGGAGAATGGTAGCATATAGCGCTTTATGGCACGTGACGGCCCATAAGTGATTTGTGTTTTTAGGCCCAAGAGCGAATTTAGCCAACTGGATGAAGACAGCTGTAAGTTTGAGACGAATTTGTATATTTCCCTTCGAGTTTTTTTTCTCTCTTTTTCTTGTTCAGCACTTATTTTGCATTCATTCCGATTCCTTTAAATTTTAAACTTATCCTCTTTATCGAATCCATCAATTTACTTGTCAGAAAAACACAAAGTACAGTAAACAGTCACGGGACCAGGTTTCGACTACATCTGGTAGTCTTCTTCTGCAAACAGTGATCTGACTGCTGAATGACGAAGATTTCTGAATTTTGTCATGCAGGATCAGAAGGCTATGAATCACCAGAATGATGGATGACCCTTCTATATCCCGTGACGTGATATACTTCAGGAAGTGAGTTTACGCAGGCCCTCTCACCGTTGCATCCGTTCATACCGCTTTTTAAACTTATCTCAGATTTCGACAGTTCCCGTCGTAAATCAGCTCTTATTCACGGTGTTCTATGACTGCATCGGTTAGTTTCATTCAGCATCCCACCGCGAATGTTTTGCAAATCGACGGTTTGAACGAAATCGATCAGGTGAGCTGTTTACGAATACGTTTGGTTTACAGACACGTCAACCGAAAATCACACAAAACAGAAAACGGGCATGGAGTTAATTCGTGTAGACATGTACTGTTACTGATTGATCCATGTGAAAGCCAGCAAGAATAGGGGAGCAGTTTGCAGACACCCTGAATGCGGATCAGGAGAACACCTGCATGTTTGAAAACGCCCCAACTCCCCCTGAGAGTATCTGCGAGGTACCTCCAATAAAAGTGGCAGATTCAGCAATAAATAAGTTACAATGTGGCCAAGTTGTGTTAGCAGATTATGTTGCTACTGAAGCGTTTAAGACAGGAAGAATATATATGATGCGATGGCGGTACAAACAGTACATACAGATTTGGAATGCTTAAGTTTGTCCAGCTGATTTGAAGAAACAAATATTTATCCTGTGTTCAAGAAGAAGACGACATTCTGCACTAATTACATATGTTCGACACTAATCACGGTCCTTTCAATAACGGTGTTTTCGACGGCCATCCTCAAAGGGTGTGAATGAAAATTGGACGAATATCAGGACACTGCCATCTTTTCATTAACCGTGTGCACTCATGCACTGTCCACTATTTCACTCCGTGCTGCATGTTTGAACAGTCTCAAAGTAGCAACTGTCGTTCACTACCGCATATACGGATCTTCGCAATGAATTTGACTCTCCACATGGAAATCTGTAAAATCTGTCAAATCATTATTGATTATAGTTTTCCTGCAGAAATCGTTTGTTGCACGGAACATAGAAAGTATAGTAGAAATTTCAAAAGTAGACGACAGTCTATAGGGATGGATTGGTAGTAACTTTGTGTTTCGATGATGCGATGTGTTATTCTCTCAACGATTCAGTATTCTGCTATAGCCTGTATTTAAAGAAGGTTTTGAACAGTATCACAGAGACGGGTTTCAGCTATTACGTAAGCGTTGCTCGTCATATCCAGTGAGGTTTTGCGCTGATTTCGAATTTGGCGACGACACTTTTCTCAGCGAATCGGTTGTCAGATTCTAGAACTTGTTAAACTTTTTATCTATTGTAGGAAAAATGAAGATACACGTAAAGAAACTTAGGTAATGTTTTGTGGAACAAATGGAAAACAGACGGCTGAAATGCTGTGCGGATCTTCGATACCTGTCGTCAGCTGGCTGCTGTTGTCTCGAGAAGTGGGGACTACGGTCAGGAAATAGCGAGGAAAGTAGGTACCGCTTCGGATTCGCTTGGCAAATTACGGAAAATTTCTGCAGGCGTTGCGGGTCGTTTTGAAACTTGTGAAGATTTATAAGCGGCGATTTTCTCGGCACTGTTATATGTCCTCGAAGCATGCTGTTTGCCCAGAAAAATCACCAGCCCCCTTCGTGTCAACATCGCTGCATAAGTTACATCCTCTAAGTCAGCTTGGAAACACATGTTATCACAAATGAAGAGAGAACGCAAGTCTCAGACCCAAGAAGGCTACCATCGGATAGAAACTTGTTGGCTGACGAGATGAAATTATGTCACAGCGATGCAATTCGTCGATACCCAGACGAACAGTTTTTCTGACGACCGAACCACGGAAAGCGCCACGTGGCAGATTGGCACAGAATGGGAAAAATGAAAAAGATGGTGGTAGACTTCATTAAAGTGTCCATGAAACAGCCAAGCAACAGCCCTTCTGCTTTAACCGGAAAACAAGAAATAACTTTCCTCCTCTGACACCATGATGAGCAAGGTCTTTACCAGAATAGTTCGTGAAACAGGCGTTTAAAGGGCTATAAGTAATTAATCGCAGGTGTTGTTAAAAATTCCCGTCATGATAATATCATGAGTCTGTTCAGTTTATCGAACTTTATCACTTGTTTCTGAGCTCCGACATAGCCGATTATCCTTGCACAGACTGGTGTCTGTACGATCGATATAGGTAGCATTGCCGTGATTCGCCGTATTGCGTCTCTCATTTGCTTCAGTATGAATTGAATCGCTTTCTCTGGTAGAATCTAGCTTTTTTCCATTCGTCTTTAATGTAACTGAGGTTTTGTGTAGCTGCACCTTCTCCTGATTGAGTTAAATAAATCTGATCATATTGGATTAATATTGTTGTTACAGTGTTCGATGAAGCTTTCTCTACATCCGTTTGATTCTAACACGTCATATAAACCATTTCATGTTTTCTCTCCAATTTATACCCACAAG